TTTTTTTTTTTTTTTTTTTTTTTTTTTTTTTTTTTTTTGCTTTTTGCTGATGGAGTCATTCATTTGTTACTGGTTCTGTGGTGCTTGACAAGTCCATCAAGTTCCACTATTGTAGAAAACCGAACATGCAAGTTCTGGCACGTGAGATAGAAATCTTGTCAAATCATCTGCTTGCATCAATCTGGGTTTTGTGACTGATGGAGTTAGAAAAAGGCAACCAGATAGAAGAAAGTTTTGCTGTGCAGTGTGCAGCCACGATAAGAAGTAGACAAAAGACAGCTGTGTCTCTGACTCCACAGAGCATTTGCCAGAATGAAGACACTGAGTATCCCAGAAGAGGCAGCCTTAGCCATCTGCCCAAGCCAGAGCAGTCTTCCTATTGAGTACTTTACCCATGTAGATACTGAGAAATTAGTCACTGCAGCTGGGGTGAGAGGAAACAGGCTGACAACAGTCAACTTTTCTTTTTTTTTTTTTTCCAAAAAAGTGTTATAGGAGTTTAGGAGGCCAGGGCCTTGTGATGCAATGTTGCAATAAGCTCTGTTTCTGCCTGGAATGTGCAGTGTCAGTCATGCTCTCGGTGCATGTCAGAGCCTGTGCTTCACTCAAACACAGGAACAGCCCCACGAGTGTGCAGGTGAGCTGCTTTCCAGGCTCCAGGACTGCGCCTCCACAGCCTGTCCAGGCTGGCTCTGTCACGCAATCCCTGTGGAATGGGGAGAGGCTATCGGGAAGGGCGAATGCCGGGACACAGTGAGGCAATAGCAGGACCAGCTGTCTGGCCCCATCAGGCTGAGAACAGCATGATGCCCATTTTGCAGATGGAGAGCTGATGGATTCAGTGGCAGCCTGTAAGTCAGGCACAGGGAGGAAGGGTTATTTGTACCACGTGCTTTCACATCTGGCTGTAGATGTGGTCTGCAGCACCTAAAGTCAGCAGCTGGCTTTCATCTGCAGGCGCTGGCAAGAATTAGGTGCATCCAGAAGGTAACTCACTTGCCTTAATGATGATATGAGTAGCCCCTCTTCCCCACCAGAGAGGACAGTCATCAAAGAGTGGACTGGAAAGCAGCACTCATTGCAGCACTGCCAGCAGAATTTGAGGATTTTGCCTCCGTTTTTCAGTTGAGACTGTGCTCCTTCCTTCATACCTTGTAACCCAGGCCAGTGTCAAGCAGAACTACCTCGTGAGGGCTCCTTGGTGGAGATGTAAGGAGTTAGTGGTTTTCAGTCCCGTTTCCTGATGGCCAGTGTCCCTGCTGTCAAAGCTGCCATCTCAAATGTTCTTCCCTTTCTACCACAGTGGGAATTCTCAGTTGGTATTTAAGCATTGCTGTAGTAAACATGATTAATACTAATTGGCACTAGCTGGCAGTCTCCATTGGGAGCTTGGAGAGCCTATGGGGACAAAAGCTGTCTTCCAGCCCACATGCTCAAAGACCAGTGCAGGTAGAGAGAGAGGGGGCTACACTCTCCTCAGTTTGCCAGCCAGCAGCAAACCTTGCAGGAGCAGTGCTGGGCTTTGCTCTGGGGCTGTTGTCCCTCTTCCAAAACAACCTGCATGCAGTTTTTCTCCCCAGGCAGAGTCACGGAGGCAGGGAGAGCAGGAAGCCCAGCAGGAGCAGGTAGTCCCACAGCCATGTAGTGAAAGGACACGGCCAGCCAGGGTAGTGGCCAGACCAGAACCACAGGGGTTTGCCCCATCACTAGTGTCATATGTCTTGCATCATCTCTGGGTCCAGCACAGCTCCCAGAGGGAAGAGGGAACCTGGCTTCACCATGGCCATGGGACTGACTCCCCCCAGCAGCTGATCACATTTCTCTCACTAGGATCTCTTTAGGAAGCTGTGCTGAGTTTCTGGCCTTGATATGGATCCTGGCTGTGTCCTGCCTCGAAGGCAGGAGGAAGTCAGTAGTTTGGGATTTTCCATGCATCAGACAGGAACAAGCTGCTCTGGAAGCTCTCTGGCTGGGGAGATGATGGGCCATGGTTCAAGGGAGACCTCCCCTGGGGCAGGATGTGACCAGGCTCTGGGGCCTGGGCCCCCAAGTGCGCAGTGCAGGGCAAGGGGGCTCTGCCTAGAAATGTGACTCTGTCTTCAGGACTGTGAACTGTGGGGCTGGGGCTTGTTTTGCAGGTCAGCAAAGGGAACGAAGAAGGGCTGGCTTTTATTCTGAGCAAAATGTTTTGTGTGAAAATTATAATGTTACTTGTTTTGTCATTGTCTTAATGTTTGCCCAGTATGAACATCTCTTCTTATTGCCTACAAATGTCTGAAGTTGATTGTTTTTTAGATACAGATGCCTTGTGTTGAGAATCTGAGTTGTACCTTTGAATTACCTGCCTTAAAGTGGCTCTGTGCCTTCAAGACAACTCCTGGGCCACCTCTCTGTTGGAGCTGGGGGATGTACAGATTCTCCCTCATGTTTTATAAATACATTGTCTTCCTACAAGAGCTCACTTCTGTCTGTGTGTTACTCGCAACCACATCACCATGCAGCAGGGATTAGAAACCAGGTGTTGCTCCTCTATCTTCATATAACCAAAAGCATAGGCAATACCAGAGAGACAGATCACCTTCTGCCCAAGGCAGCAAGAACTCTGCAGCAGGAAGTGAGTGGGAGATGTAGCAAGCAAGGTTAGCCAGGAGTGAGACCTGTTTCAGTCTCTCTAGGTTTGCAGAAAGTGGGATGGAAACACAACAGTATTTCTCCTGTCTTCTTGGGTTTGTCATGTGGAACAAGGTGGAAACACTGAACAAATACACATCCCACCAAAGCACAGGTGTGGTGTGATCATAGAGAATGTGGAAAACAAAGTGGTCCTCCTTGCAAGCAGAGGAAAATTGCTGGAGAAGACCACAGGTGAGAGCCTAGACCCAGGTTTGGTGCTTGGCACAGTCTACACAAATGAGAGGTCAACTCTTTCACAGCAGCTGCTTATTTAGGTTAAATTTTGGCCCATTTTTGCTTCAGCTGTGTGTTGAGTATCAAAAGCTTGGCAGGAATGGGAGTCAGACATGGAGAGGGGAAAAGGCAGCCAAGGTTGCTAATGAGTGTGATTTCATTATAATGAGAAATTATTATTATTAAAGGTGATGGGGGGAAAATATTCTGGTGTGCTGCCAGTCTTTTGCTTGTCTGGGATGAGTGACAGGAAACCTTCTCTGCTCAGGCAGGCCTCATGTACTGTCATACCTGATCTAGTAGCTCTCTGAAACAATGATGAAGTTAAGATCTGGTAAGGAAATTCCTCTCACTGCTTCTTTCCCAGCTGAACCTTTTATTTTTTTCCCTCTCTTTACATTCAGTCATCAATGCTAATTGCTTTGCCTCCTGCTCCATGAAGCAATGAGTCCTAGGGTTTGGGATCTGCACACGGAATGCATAACATTTTACCTTTTCATGAGCCCAGCTGGCCAGTAGTGGCTGAGAGCCCTTAGCTTGTGGTTTTGCTTTGCCTACAAGTGGCTTGGTTACCCCTACAGTGAAGCCTTTTTCTGGAGGAGAGCAGGATAACAGGCTTCCCAGAAACATCCACCCCTGTCTGCTGTCAGTCTTGGCACAGAGCAAGGACTGAGTTAAGCAGCAAATCCAGTGTCACTCCAGACCTGTCATCCCCCAGATAAAGTGGAGGACAAGTCTTTGCCTGCTCCACCAAACAGATCCCAGACCGTGCTCAGCTTTGCCACTTTAAATTCTGGTAAATACATAACTGGTATTTTCCACCCTCCTCTTTTTATGCAACTTTCCTTCAGCTGCCAAAAAGTCAGTTGCTGGTACCAGCTGATGCTGGCCCGTGGCCTTACCCACCACCTTCTAAGCAAGATCATTCACACTCTCTTCAGAAAAAAGCACCACCTGTGACTTACAGTGAAATTTAGTTCTGTAAAGCCAAATACAGAATACAAATGAAATCTGTCTGTATCTATTTCTAAGTGTCAGACACTTCCAGTAGCTCCTGAAGACCACTATGAGGATGTTTTCATGGCATTTCTGTCTCAGTGGTAGCAAGGATATGCAAAATTAAAAATCCATATTGAACTCTGATTTTGCAGTACAATGAAAAAAATCATTTAATAATCAGAAGAGCATGTAATTGTTTTAACAGGTTTACAGAAGGCTATTAAAATATCCATTTCTTAGCATGACTACAAAGTTAAATTTAGAATCAGAAATTTTTACTCCTTCAAAAAAATCCCAAAACTTGTTAATTCAAAGGATCTTTTTTTTAAGGAAACAAATTGTTCTAGTACAAGGGAATTTCCAGCATTACCAATATAAAATCAATATATTTAAAAACATTTGTATTACTGATAAGACCTTAAACTATAATGGTGATTATTTAATGAAGTAACTGTCATTTCTCGTTGTGGCAATAAGCCTAGACTGTCTCCTTAAGTATAATGTTTCTTCATTTTCTACTAAATACTGTCAGGCCATTCTGACATCATTCCTGATAGGTCCCTGATGATGACATCAGACCATAAGTATTTTTTCTGATTGCTAATATTCCAATGCTGGAAGTACCTGATTGTTTTCTTAACTGTGTTGCATTTAATTTTAAACAACTAGGAAAACATTTGAACTGGTTTAACTATGTTGACGTGCACACACTTTTCTGTCCTCCCATGAGAACTTCTTTTTTAGTGTGAGAAACCCATTCCAACACTTGGGATGTAA